TAAGGGTGGTTTTGTGGGCGAGGGCCCCTATTTGGGACTTCAGCAGGCGTGCATGAGCGTGTTCGATAGGTGTGAAATGGAGACGAATGGTAATTTTGGGAATCTGACGATCTAGTTGGAGTGCGAGCAGGTAATATGTTAGTGAAGGGATTCAGGGATACCGGTTATTTTTATATAGCCGGACTTGAGTCCTGGAATGGGAAGTACATTGCCTGCACTCTAAAGGAGGACGTTTTGGGATATTAGCAGTTTGGGAGGGACATGTTGTGTATCTTATACGTATATGCTTCTAAAAAACTGATGTGCTTGAGCACCTTGCAAAAACTGTGATTATGTGTGTGTGAGGTGAAAGTGTTGAATGATGATGAAAGTATTTTCTTTTTGGGGATTTTCTTTCTTTTGGGTCTCATGCCTCGGTGGGAGACAGCCGACTTGTCGAAAAAAAAAAATAAAAAGGTACAGTTGTCCTCGCTTTTCGTAGTTCTCGGCAATCGTAAATTTCGCCATCATAGGGTATTTTCGTATAAACATGGACTCGCTTTTCCATAGGTTGACTCACAGAGAAAATAGTAGTTCGTCCGGGACGCGTAGCACGGTGTTGAGCCGGGGAGGCCTCCCTACCCAGCAGTCTTGGCATGTTTCCTGTGAGTGAAGTCCCCTCATGTGCTCCTACGAAATATTTCATAATATTCCACTCTTTTTAGTGGCTGCAAGTACTAAATAAGCTCCATGGCTCGGAAGAAAGCTCCTAGTGCCAAGCCTGTGGTAAGAAGGTGCGAATATGTTACTGTGGCAAAGTCTTGGGCATTTTTAGGGAAGCGTTAATGAGGACGCCAGAAACATAGCTCTCTTCCAACAGTTACTGGCCAATCATTAACCCTTAAACTGTCCAAATGTAGATATACGCTCACATGCGTAGTGCTCCGACCTTGATTTTCCCTTTGAAAGCATGTAAAAAAAAAAACGTAGATCTTCATTCCGAGCCCCCTACATGTGGACATAGATCTATGTTTGGACAGTTTAAAGGTTAAAGAATCTCACGTCACAGTCCTTAAACCATAAAAACCGTAGCCCCACACTTGTCAAATGCCTCAGGTAAATTGTCACACAATAACTCCAGGTAATTTTACTGGTTCATATATCGGTTTTTGGAAAGCACAATGAATTCACCAACACTCTGAGCACTGAAACACCCCCAAACCATGAGTGAGTCTAGGTGTTTGGTGGTCCCACAGGTGTAGTGTTGGTCTAGTGGGTCACTACCTCTGGGCCAGTACACACATCCCCCACGGTTACAGGTGACGGTGAAGGTTGCTTCATCACTCCAAAGTACTTTGGACCACTGTTGAGGATTCCAGTGAAGATATTTCTTTGCATAATCCAGCCTACGTTTCTTCTGTGGCTTGGAGTGGATAGGTTTCTTAACGTGGCAGTGATTACTGTAGCCCAGTTCTGACACACGTCACTTAACACAGTTCTTACAGACACCTCTGAGAGAAGATGTTGTTTCTTTTCTTTCAATTCTCTAGCAGTTATCTTAGGTGTAGTTTCTAACTGTTTCTTTAAGACATTTAAGGTACGAACAGATGTCTTCTTCGAGGGGCCAGGCCGAGGTTTGGCAGACGGTAACTCAACACCGCCACCAGCCTTGAAACGCTGCACCCAGCTCCTCATTGAATGCTCACACACACCAATATTCTCCACTATTTCTTTCTTCTGGTGCCCAGTTTTGTGAAGCCGTATGATTTGAGCTATAGTTTCAAGTGTTAAAGACATCCTTTTACCCATAATCTAACATGTATAGTCCCAAAACCGAAGGGAACACCGGACAAAAGATGGGGCGGATGAGAGACAAAAGTGCAACACTTCCTCCTTGCCACGTGAGCACTGAGGAGTCACTGTGGAGTGTGGCAACAGCTGCTACCTGGCATAATGCACCGACGAAAAAAGACCTCCCTGTACGGTAGGCCTTTGAGTTTTGTCACGGCATTATGCCGGGGCACTCACCCAGCATAATGCTGTGACTAGCATTGTACCTGTTTTTTTTTTTTTTTTTTTTTTTTTTTTTTTTTTTTTTTTTGTACACACATCGGCCATCTCCCACCAAGGCAGGGTGACCCAAAAGAAACAAAAGCCCATAAAGAAAGAAAAAAAAAGCTTCATTATGAGTAAACATTTTCACCATCACTCATACATAATTATTGTCTGCAGAGGCACCCAGATATGACAGTTTAGATAGTCACTCCAAACTGCCAATATCCCAAACCCCTCCTTCAAAGTGCAGGCATTGTACTTCCCATTGCCAGGACTCAAGTACGGCTAACCAGTTTCCCTGAATCCCTTCACAAGATATTACTCTGTTCACACTTTGACAGCTCATCAGGTCCCAAGAACCATTTGTCTTCATTCATCTAATACACATGCACACTTGCTGGAAATCCACAAAACTCAAAAAACCTCCTTTACCCCCTCCCTCCAACCTTTTTGAGGACAACCCCTACCTTGCCTTCCTTCCCCTACAGATTTATACATTCTCCAAGTCATTCTACTTTGTTCCATTTTCTCTAAATGACCAAACCACCTCAACAACCCTTCTTCAGCCCTCTGACTAATACTTTTAGTAACTCCACACCTCCTATTTCCACACCGAATTCTCTTCATAATGTATACACCACACATTGCCCTTAGACAGGACATCTCCACTGCCTCCAGCCACCTCCTTGCTGCAGCATTTACAACCCAGGCTTCACACCCATATAAGAGTGTTGGTACCACTATACTTTCGTACAGTCCCTTCTTTGCCTCCATGGATAACATTTTTTGTCTTCACAGATACCTCAATGCACCACTAACCTTTTTTCCTTCATCAGTTCTATGGTTAACCTCATCCTTCATAAACCCATCCATGATAAGTCATCTCCCAAATATCGGAAAACATTCACTTCTTCCATACTTCCTCTCTCTAATGTGATATCCAATTTTTCTTTTTCTAAATCATTTGGTACCCTCATCACCTTATTCTTATCTAAATTCACTTTTAATTTTCTACCTTTACACACCCTCCCAAACTCGTCCCCTAACATTTGTAACTTTTCTTTAGAATCCCCCAAAAGCACAGTATCATCAGCAACTCCCATTTTGTATTTGATTCCCCATAATTTAATCCCACTCCTCTCCCTAGCATTTACTTCTTTTACAACCCCATTTATAAATATATTAAACAACTATGGAGGCAAAGAAGGGAATGTATGAAAGTATAGTAGTACCAACACTCTTATATGGGTGTGAAGCTTGGGTGGTAAATGCAGCAGCGAGGAGATGGTTGGAGGCAGTGGAGATGTCCTGTTTAAGGGCAATGTGTGGTGTAAATATTATGCAGAAAATTCGGAGTGTGGAAATTAGGAAAAGGTGTGGAGTTAATAAAAGTATTAGTCAAGAGGGCAGAAGAGGGGTTGTTGAGGTGGTTTGGTCATTTAGAGAGAATGGATCAAAGTAGAATGACATGGAAAGCATGTAAATCTATAGGGGAAGGAAGGCGGGGTAGGGGTCGTCCTTGAAAGGGTTGGAGAGAGGGGGTAAAGGAGGTTTTGTGGGCGAGGGGCTTGGACTTCCAGCAAGCGTGCGTGAGCATGTTAGATAGGAGTGAATGGAGACGAATGGTACTTGGGACCTGACGATCTGTTGGAGTGTGAGCAGGGTAATATTTAGTGAAGGGATTCAGGGAAACCTGTTATTTTCATATAGTTGGACTTGAGTCCTGGAAATGGGAAGTACAATGCCTGCACTTTAAAGGAGAGGTTTGGGATATTGGCAGTTTGGAGGGATATGTTGTGTATCTTTATATGTGTATGCTTCTAAACTGTTGTATTCTGAGCACCTCTGCAAAAACAGTGATAATGTGTTTAGTGTGGTGAAAGTGTTGAATGATGATGAAAGTATTTTCTTTTTGGGGATTTTCTTTCTTTTTTGGGTCACCCTGCCTCGGTGGGAGATGGCCGACTTGTTGAAAAAAAAAAAAAAAAAACTATGGTGACATTACACATCCCTGTCTAGGGCCTACTTTTATTGGGAAGTAATCTCCCTCTCTCCTGCACACCCTAACCTGAGCCTCACTATCCTTATAAAAACTCTTTACAGAATTTAGTAACTTACTACCTTTTCCATTCATTTGCAACATCTGCCACATTGCTTCCCTATCCACTCTATCATATGTCTTTTCTAAATCCATGAGTGCAATGAAAACTTCCCTACCTTTATCTAAATACTGTTCACATATATGCTTTAGTGTAAACACTTGATATACACATCCCCTACCCACTCTAAAGCCTCTTTGCTCATCTGCAATCCTGCTTTCTGTCTTGCCACTAATTCTTTCAATAATAACCCTTCCGTACACTTTACCTGGTATACTCGGTAAACTTTTTTTTTTCTTTTTAGCAAGCCGGCCGTCTCCCACCGAGGCAGGGTGACCCAAAAAGAAAGAAAATCCCCAAAAAGAAAATACTTTTATCATCATTCAACACTTTCGCCTCACTCACACATAATCACTGTTTTTGCAGAGGTGCCCAGACTACAACAGTTTAGAAGTATATACGTATAAAAATACACACTATATCCCTCCAAACTGCCAATATCCCAAACCCCTCCTTTAGAGTGCAGGCATTGTACTTTCCATTTCCAGGACTCAAGTCCGGTTATATAAAATAACCGGTTTCCCCTGAATCCCTTCATTAAATATTACCCTGCTCACACTCCAACTCAGTAAACTTATTCCCCTATAATTTTTACAATCTCTTTTGTCCCCCTTCCCTTTATATAAAGGAACTATGCACGCTCTCTGCCAATCGTTAGGTGCCTTCCCCTCTTTCATACATTCATTAAACAAGAATACGAACCACTCCAACACTACATCCCTCTCAGCTTTTTACATTTCTGTCTTGATCCTGCCAGTTCCAGCTGCTTTACCTCCATCATTTTATGTAATGCCTCATGCACCTCCCTCACACTCACATCCTGCTCTTTTTCACTAGCAAGCCTTCCATCATGTAAAACAATTACAGGTTTCCTTTTCACACTCACTTGGCAGGATGGTAGTACCTCCCTGGGTGGTTGCTGTCTGCCAGCCTACTACCTAGGATATAGTTTTGATCCCTAAGATTATCATAATATTTAATAATCTTACCTTCAGACAACTTAATTGTCTATATTAATCCTAGCATTCAAATAATCTAACTTCATCTGTACAGCCATATATTATCAAGTACTGTAGTGTTTAGTTTTAGGCTGTCCAAAATGCTCTGCATAACCAGGCTTGTTTCAAAATGTATGAAATAAATGTCGTCTACCATATTTTTCAGCACATTTTTTTCAAAATATTCGGGCCGCTGCGCGAGTAAACGTATATATACGTTTGGACCGTTTAAGGGTTAAATAACACCTAGGTAGTAGGTTGGTAGACAGCAACCACCCAGGGAGGTACTACTGTCCTGCCAAGTGGGTGTAAAGCAGATGCTTGTAATTGTTTTACATGATGGTAGGATTGCTGGTGTCTTTTTTCTGTCTCATAAACATGCAAGATTTCAGGAAAGTCTTGCTACTTCTATTACACTTAGGTCATGCTACACATGCATGTACATACATACATATATATACACACCCCCTCTGGGTTTTCTTCTTCCTTACTAGTTCTTGTTTATTTCCTCTTATCTCCATTGGGAAGTGGAACAGAATTCTTCCTCTGTAAGCCATCCATGTCGTAAGAGGCGACTACCATGCCTGTATACATTACTAAAGTTAAAAAGAGAGACTTTCGTTTTTCTTTTTGGGCCACCCTGCCTTGGTGGGATATGGCCTGGTTTGTTGAAAGAAGATTTAAGCATCAGTGAGTTGAAGACATATGAAATGAAATTAGGGCAATGTAACAAAAGATGCTGGACTGTCAGAATAACCTTTCAGTTATTGCTGAATGGCTTTGGGCTCTCTACTTGAGATGATCCTCTGTGAGTCTAGTGTGTTTGGTGTATAAGAATGTGGGTACCATTTCACACAGCCAGTAGGGAGGGAGGATGGCTAATGAAAAAACTTTCTTGGTCACTAATGAGAAGCAGTGATGCTGCTAGTGACCTCACAACAGCTGGACAATTACTGGAAAATAATCAGAGGATGGCATATGTGTGTGCAGAAAAAAAAAGCCATACCATGGGTGGGGCTTGAACTTGGGATTGGAAAGTTGTAAAACTCCAAACCGATGCATTAGATTTATGACTCTCTAACCGCAAGTTCAAGCCCCGCCCGTGGTATGGCTTATTTGCAATTGTGTCATTACAATTTCATGAATCATGTGTGCAGAATTTTGAAAGGTTTAGAACCATTGACTGATGCTTGCACAAGTGTAAGACTGATGTATGCACATTGTACAAGTGTAGAAAACTGGTATGTGCCGAGTGTAAGACTGGTGTACATGTATGAGTGCACAAGTGATAGGCTTGTGTGTATGTACAAGTGCAGTGCTGGTGTATGCCAAGTGTAAGACTGGTGTATGCTCACGAGGGTATTTTAGGACATTTTAGGGATATATTTGATAGGTTGATCTTGGGGTTTATCAGATCCAGTTCTGAGAGTAGGTGGCAGCACTGCTTTGTTCTGCAGTTTTTGCCTCTCACCCGGATTGTCTTATTTAAAGTATATTGTTTAAAATTCAGTTTATTAATGCTCTTAGTCTGTATTTTACAGTAATTTCTACATTTTTGTTTCTGCCTGATACCTTGATTTGCAGTTGGACACATTGTAAACACTGAATGATTTTTGAGGTAGAAGAGAGGTGAGGTGTATGCCTGGAACCTATTTACTGAACTGAAAAGTGTTGTACTGTGCTGCTATCTGGAATACCTTTGATTACAACCATTTCAAGTTAAAGAGCTTCCTCTGTAGTGAAAAAATTGTATTTTTATTTTTGAATATTTATTTATATCCTGATATAGCTTTGATACTGTACTTTGTGCTGGAAGTTCACTGACTTTATAAACTGGTTAACAAAATAATCTTTAAGTTGCAAAACTTCAATTACAGGATTGCTGTGTATGTAAATTATTCTCATCCTTTAGGTTAGATATAATATCCAGTTGTTAGTGTTAGATGACTATATACTCTTAACCCTCTGGTGATGCACTTGATTTCTTAGTTTTTGTAAATTTTATATTAGATTTGAAATGTTTTGTGTGTTAAATTTAAGAGCTTTAGATGTCAGTAGCTTTTCTTGTTTTCCTACATTAAACATGTAGCATTAATCTTTGGCTATGTGATAGAAATTATTAATTTGCATTATTGTAAATTTTTATTGCTAGCAGTTCATTTAAGTGTTTCTTCTTAATTTTTAGATGGGGCTTCATGGTCTCTATTTTGAAGACAAGTTAGACCTGTTGAGCTTGATGCAATATTCCAACCTGGCTCTAAGCTGCCTGCTGGACACAATACGCACCACTCACTGCAAGGCCAAGCCAGGTTTGCCATTTTTATGGGTGTTGTTGATTTCAATTACTGGAAAAAATGAGTTTGATAGATTTTGATGTAGAGTCACTTAAATATTTTTTTTTTTTGGGTAGATTGTTGCAGTTTCATGAAATTTTATGGAAATTAGTATTAAGTGGTTTATTTCTCTTGCATGTCTTGTGTCTTTATTCTTTATTTTTATCCTTTCATATTTTAATTTTTTTGTGTGTTTGGGTTCTCATGAATCACTTGCAAATAATGCTTCTTAGAATTCTCTCTCTCTTAAACTAGTAATGGACATCTCTACCAGTTTTAGGTCATGCCTACCCCCCATCTGTTTTCTATAGAAGAATTCTCATATTCTAATATTGGGCTCCAGGAGCACCTGTCAGTATACCTGGAGTATACTTGGAAGGGGGTTTCAGGGGTCAATGGTGTCACAGCCCAGTCCGTGACCAGGACTTGTGATGGATCAGGGCTTGATCAACCAGGCTGTTGCTGTGAGCCACAGCTCATACATTGGCACTTGTCCAGTGCCTTCTTGAAGACATCCAAGGGTCTATTGATAGTCCCCCCTATGTATACTGGGAGGCAGTTGAACAGTCTTGAGTCCCTGACACTTATTGTGTTGTCTCTAAGCATACACATGGTGGCTCTGCTTTTCGTTGGAGGGATGTTGCATCTCCTACCAAGTCTTTTGCTTTTGTAGGGAGTGATTTTCATGTGTAGATTTGAGACTAGTCTCTCTGGGAATTTCCAAGTGTATATATTCATGTATCTTTCTCTCCTGCATTCCAAGGAGCACAAACCAAGGGACTTCAACTGTTCCCAATAATTTAGGTGCTTTATCGTACCTATATGTGCCGTGAAAGTTCTCTGTATATTCTCAAGGTCTGCAGTTTCGTCTGTCTTGAAAAGGGGCCATTAATCAGCATTATTCAGCCTAGAGAGAATAATAGATTAGAGGAGAATCATCATGGGCCTGGCATCTCTAGTTTTGAAGGTTCTCATTATCCATCCTATCATTTTCCTAGTAGATGTGGTAGATACATTGTTGTGATCTTTGAAAATGAGATTCTTGGACATTATCACTCTCAGGTCCTTCACATTAGTTTTTCACTCTATTGTGTGGTTGTAATTTGTTTTATATTCTGATACAGTTTTAATTTCTTGGAGTTTTCCATAGTGGAGTACAGTGGAACTTCTGCACTTGAACTCAATTGGTTCCAGAAGGCTGTTTGAGTGCTGATCTGTTCGAGTACAGAACATATTTTTCCCAACCAATTTTCTTTTTAGTTGGCTGTTATTGCTAACCCTCGTAGGTCCTATGGTGACTTATACAAGTAATATAAAAAAACACCAAAAAATGTGAAGAAACATGAAACAGTTTACAGTGAAGTTCTGGCAGGTCGTGTTTGTTTGGTTGAGTGCCAAGCAGACAGTCAATTACCGAGCGATTTGTTTTTCTAGACAAAGTGTTCGAATACTGAACTGTTTGAGTACGGAGCTGTTTGAATACCGAGGTTCCACTATAATTGAAATTTGTCTTCATTGAACTTCATAATGTTTTCTGTGGCCCATTTAAAGATTTGGTTAATGTCCACTTGGAGACTTGCAGTGTCTTCGATGGATGGCACTCATGCAAATTCGGGTGTCATTTGCAAAAGACGTGGTGATGTGGCTTTCATTTCTGTCTGTCAGATATGAGGATGAGGAACAGGATGGGAGCAAGTACTGTACCTTGTGGAACAGAGCTTTTCACTGTAGCTGCCTCTGACTTTATTCTGTTTACTATTACTCCTTGTGTTTTGTTTGTTAGGAAGTTATAGATCCATCTACGAGTGTTTCCTGTTATTCCTTTATCACGCAATTTGTGTGCTGTTACACCATGAACGCATTTGTCAAATTCTTTTGCAAAGTCTGTTGATACTACATCTACATATTGTTTGCCCTCCAGAGCATCTAAGACCATGTCATAGTGGTCCAGTAGTTGGGATAGGCAAGAGCGACCTTCTCTAAACCCATGCTGGCCTGGGTTGTGCAACTGATGGGTACCTAAGGGGGGGCAATCTTGCTTCTTAGAACCCTTTCAAAGATTTTTATAATGTGGGACATTAGTGCTATTGGTCTGTAATTCTTAGCAATTGCTTTACTACCACCTGATTGTGGGATGACCCCTGTGTCCATGTTCCCTCTCCATAGAATACCTAAGGCACGTGAAAGGGGCTTCTTGCAGTTCTTGATGAACACAGAGTTCCACGAGTCTGGGCCTGGTGCAGAGTGCATGGACATGTCATAATTGCTTTTTCTAAGTCTTGTGGTGTTAGAATAATATCAGAAATTTTTGAATTAACCAAATTTTGAGTTTCGGTCATAAAAAAATAATTTAGATTGTTGACTCTTAATCTGATTAATGGCTCATTAAATGCTGAGTCATACTGGGAATTTAGTATCTCACTCATTTCTCTGCTGTCATCTGTGTAAGTCCCATCTTGTTTAAGCTTGGGTTCAGTACTGGATATTGTTGTTGCCTTAGATTTGGCATAAGAAAAGAAGTAATTTGGGTTTTTTTCAATTTCATTTATGGCTTTAAGTTCTTCCTGTGTTTCTTGTCTCCTGTATGATTCCTTAAGCTTTAGTTCGATATTTGCTATTTCTCTGACCAGTGCCTCCTTTCGTATTTCAGATATACTGGCCCTTTTCAGCAGCTCTGTGATTTTTTCGCCTTCACCTGTATATGGACCGTGACTGTGCCTTGACTATGCCTCAATTGCTACAGAGTTAATTCTTTCTAGGCAAAGGTTCAGATCCATGTTTAGGATACCTTCCCAGCTTGCTTCATTTACGACATGGTTGATTTACTCCCATTGTATGTTTTTGTTATTAAAGCTGGTGAAGGTACCCTCATAACTGATTTTATGCTGGTCAGGAGCCCTGCGCATACATGTATGTACTTCTGTGATGTTATGATCTGAGTGTATTGTCTTTGATACTGCTATATTTCATATGAGATCATCATTATTAGTGAAGATGAGGTCAAGTGTATTGTCCAGTCTTGTTGATTCCACTATTTGCTGGCTTAAGGTGAATTTGTTTCAGAGATTTAATAGTTCATGTGTGTGTGAATTTTCATCTGAGCTGCCTCCTGGGGTTATCTCTGCTAAAACATTATTTGCTACATTCCTCCATTTTAGGTGCCTTGAAATCACCCAGCAGCAAGATGTTTGGGGCAGGAGTTGGGAGATTTTCCAGACAGTAGTCAATTTTCAAAAGTTGTTCCTGGAATTGTTGGGAAGTTGCATCAGGAGGCATATATACAATCACAATGGCAAGGTTTTGGTTTTCAATCTTTACTGCCAAAACTTCAGCTACATCATTTGAGGTGTTGGTAGACAGCAACTGCCCAGGGAGGTACTACTGTATTGCCCAGTCATAAGCCTGTATTTGTTTTACATGATGGTAGGATTGCTGGTGTCTTTTTTCTGTTTCATAAACATGCAGGATTTCAGGTGTGTCTTGGTACTTCTACTTACACTTAGGTTGCACTACACATGCATGCACATGTTTATGTATACACTCTCATCTGAGTTTTCTTTGGTTTTATCTTAATAGTTCTTGTTCTTATTACTTTTCCTTTCATATCCATGGGGAAGTGGAATAAGAAATTTTCCTCCATAAGTCATGTGTGTTGTAAAAGTCAACTAAAATACCGGGAGCATCGGGCTAGTAACCCCTTTTCCCGTGTAACTTAATAAAAAGAAAATGAAGAAAACCATCAAAGTGGGGTGTTTGAATGTGCATGGATGTAGTGCAAATGATAAGAAAGAGATGATTGTGGATGTTATGAATGAAAAGAATTTGGATGTCCTGGCTCTAAGTGAAACAAAGCTGAAGGGGTTAGGAGAGTTGCAGTGGGGAGAAATAAATGGGATTAGGTCAGGGGTTTCTAATAGTTAAGAGCTAAGGAATGAGTAGAAATAATGTTGAAGGATAAGTTATGGCAGGAAAAGAGGGAATCTAAATGTATAAATTCAAGGATTATGTGAAGTAAAATAAGGATTGAATGTGAAAAGTGGGTTATAGTAAGTGTTAATACACCTGGAGAAGAGATAAGTGTAGAGGAGAGAGAGAGATTTTGGGAAATGTTGAGTGAGTGCATGGGTAGTTTTGAACCAGATGAGAGTACTTGTGGTTGGGGATCTCAGTGCCAAAGTGGGTAAAAATTTTGTGGAGGGAATAGTAGGTAAATATGGGGTGCCAGGGGTAAATGAAAATGGGGAGCCCTTAATTGAACTATGTGTAGAAAGAGGTTTGGCAATAATTAATACATTATTATTAACACATCGGCCGATTCCCACCAAGGCAGGGTGGCTCCAAAAAGAAAAGCTTTCATCATCATTCACTGTGATAGATAAATAAGCCGTATAGATGATATTAGCGAAATTATTCAAGAAGTATTTTGTCCGATCTCCAGACAAACTCTCATCCACCGCCGACACCGCCCATACCACTACATGAATTACATATTTTATTAATTTTAGAGTATAAATCAGGTTTCTATAATATTTATATTGTTTATTATGTCATATTAGATGAAGTAAGATAGATAAATAAGCATAGAGTTGATATTAGCAAAATTATTGAAGTACAGAATTCCACTGGAACGGATTAATTGCATTTCAGTTAATTTAAATGAGGAATATTGACTCTGCAAACGAGCAAATCCAGTTGCGAGCGAGGTCGTGGAACGGATTAAACTTGCAAGTAGAGATTCCACTGTATTTAGATAAAGGTATAAGTTTTCATTGCGTTTATGGATTTAGAAAAGGCACGTGATAGAGTGGATAGGGGAGCAATGTGGCAGATGTTGCAAGTGTATGGAATAGGTAGTAAGTTACTAAATGCTGTAAAGAATTTTTGTGAGGATAGTGAGGCTTAGGTTAGGGTGTGTAGGAGGAAGGGAGATTACTTCCCAGTAAAAGTTGGTCTTAGATAAGCATGTGTAATGTCAC